TTGCGGGGGGGCCCCCGCCCCACTCCCCCCCCCCCCCCTTGCTGGTGCCCCCCCCCCAGCCATGACCCACAACCCCCCAGCCCTGCCAGAGGGGCTCCCAGCCTCCTGCAAGCCCCACTTACCTCAGGCTCCAGAAGAAGACTGAGGCTGAGCTGAGCAGAGCTGAGCTGTGGCTGAGTGAGAGCCTCAGGCCCCACCCTCCCCCTCCAGGCAGGGCTGGGGGTTTCCCACCCTGTTTGCAAACAGCTCTTGCAGGCTGGAGATCAACCAGCCTGCAGAGCTGTTTGCAAAAGCAGGGAATCCACGGGTTTCTCTGCTAAGGGGAGAAATCCATGTTTTCTCTGATAAAAAGGGGAAATCTGTGGTTTTCTCTGTTTTTCCATGGGAAATGGAAAACCTGGATCCCTGGTTATGATAGGATGCTCTTCAAATATTCAAAGGCACAGGGTGGAGTAGGTACCCTGCACCCCTTGACTTCAAATAGGAATTGGGGACCTATCACTCATTGTGCCTCTGAAAATCTCCCCCTAAAACCTGATCATCTTCATCCAAAAAGAGATTCAGTTACAATGTATTGGGTCAAACAGCAGCATGAGTAATTACACGGGGTAAACATAACTCCAGTCTATATTCTTTTCAACCTATTCTCATTGTTATCTCATACACACCTCAGATAGCATACAACCTTATCAGAAATGTAATCTCTGTAGAAAACTATCTGCAGTCCATTGAGATTGTTTTTTTTGCTAAAGAAATGTGACAAGAAATTAACAGATGTTGTTCAGTCCACTCAACAGACCAGGAATCAATTATGAATATTTTTGCTCCTGCAACTATCTCTTAGTGCAAAAAGCATCTTTGGAAACCTTTTCTAGAAAGAAATTAAAATCATTTCTTTGTAATAGATGAAGAATAAATGATACCTATCAGTTTGCATTCTCTGACACACTGCTAGTCCTCAGAGAATTAAACTGCCACTGTATAGATATATAAATTTTTCATCTTTAGCCATAGAATGGTTGTCTGGAAAATACATTATTATTGTAGATGTCACTACTCTCCAATTAGTTTGGCTGACAGTTTGGAATTGGTAAGTGACCTCTTTGTACTTCTACTTAGAGAGTTTTACAGGGTTAACTATAACCATTTAATAGTATCTATCAGGAATTAATACAGTGATCATTTTTTGGAGAAAACATTTTGTGATGAAAATGGGCAACCTCCCTGTTTGAGTCTTTTCTAACAACAAAATAAAAGGCTTTTATTGATGTTTACCATGAATAGAATTAAACAGCCAAAGACCAGTTCCTAATCTCAACATTTTGTTTTCATGTCTTTAAGTCTTTTAGCAGTGGGGCTTCCAGTTGAGCCTCAGCTACAGCTTGTCTCAAGATATAGCCAAGCACCCTGAGGCTTCCCAGAGCTTGAGCACCAAACAGCATTCATACTTCTTAACTGAAAAGAACAGGATGTTTGCATAGGAGGTTTGCATCAGAAAGACATTAAACACTGATGCAAACCTCCAAGTATACAAAGACTTGAGCACAGCTAAACTCCTCTCACTTTCTTCCCCCCAAGCTAATACTCATTTGAGTTTGTACCATGGCTTGATTTTCCAAATATTCATGTGGTTTCCCTCCTTGGGTGGGTGAAATGATGCAGTATATATGCACGGAGGGGTGGGGAAACAAATATCCTGCCCACTGGACTGATTAAATCTCCAATGAAATGTGTGAATAATGTGCATATACAGTCAGCTGACCTTTCTGAATGGTTGTTCGGATGACATCTGCTCATGATCTCTTGAAATGCTGCTAGAGTGTGTAAAAAAATAAGGCACAGGATCTTTAACTGGGACAGCAAGATCAAAGGAAGCATGCAGCAAGTTTGAAACAAATAACTTCTGCTCCAATCCAAACTCTGCCACTAACCTGCTGGTATACAAATGCTCAGAGAATCAGGCACTGAAAGGGAGGATAATTCTGGCTGCTTACTTACCTGTGTGTTGCGAAGGTTCATTTATATCTGCATAGCACTCTGATGATATCAAGCATTTTACACAGTAAATGCTAATATCTTTATTGCACACCTAACCAAGGGAATATTAGAGCTGTCTGCAGCCAGCTATTTATTGTTACTACAGACTGGGAGCTCCAGGGTTCTCCCTTTAAATGCAACATCTTGTATTGACATAGCCTACCTTGTTCAGGCATCTGAGACCCCATAGAAGTAACGCTGGTATTCAGCACGTCATTGACGGCGGTGTCACAGTATAGGCCCCGTTGGACATCATGTTCACTGTCAGTCTGGTCACTCTCCTCATGCCCGCTATCCTTGAGACTATTCCCCTCTAAGTCCTTGAATGTTGAACTGCTGGGTTGAAGAAAGAACAATGATTTACTGTCATGTCGAGTGTGATCAGATAAAATCTCTCTCTGCCAGGGTGATGTCATAGCCCCAAAGCAAGACCTTCTCTAGCTGCATTGCCCAGGAAAAAGAATCTCTTTAATAGGTAGTCATAATGCAGTACCACAAAAGGATGTCTCCCTTATGAGATACTTTATAATAATACATGTTATACTGGGCAACAAGGTCTGAAATGGTAACAACCTAAAGGGATGTGAGAACTACAGAGAGATCTTGCCCGTTTCTCATGGAAGTAAAGTGCTGCTGCTCATTGTGGAACAAGCCACAGAGATGAAAAGTTGAAGCAGCACACAGCTGAAGCAGACTAGAGGCAAGATCAGGGAACAGAGGATCGCCTTTTACTTGAGAAGGATAATAGGAAGAGACAACAGTTCAACCCATTCAACTCAGTATGTCACGTACAGCTCTGATCCACTCTAACAGAAAAGAAATGGAGGTCTCCTGTGAATATGGGTACCTACTGCTGAATGTGCTAGGTATGGCTATGGAGAACTCCCCTACTGTGTTGCTGAATATATAAGGTACAAGGGAAATGGCATTTTGGACAAGTAGAGATAGACTAAGGTAACACTAAAAAAAGGAGCTTGATAGGAATTGCACTGCCTCTCTGTATCCCTTCATCCCATAAAACAGAAAATTCAGTTTATATGGCCCTTCAGAGTATATGATATAAAATGACTCTCTGGAACTCAATGCTGCAAGATATGAATGAGATCAAGAGTTAGCAGGATTAAAAAGTAGACATCTATGAAAATAAAAACATACAAAATTACATTTGCTAGCATAAAACTTAAACAAGATCTAAACCCTCATTCTTTGAGGCATAAGCCAACCTCTAACAGCTTGATGATAAAAAGAAAAGTCCTCGGAGAGCAAGGCTATTCTAAATCTTGTCCATTAGATGACTCCTCATATTATTCACTAAAGCTGATGGTACTGACCATTGACGAAAACAAAGTACTGGACTAAATGGAGCCCTGGTTTGACTTGGTATGGCAGTTCTTTTATTCTTAAAATGGCAGCATGCCAACTTAAGAAAGACAATACCAGGCACATTACACTATTTTAGGCTCACCTTCACTAAAGCACATGGAAAATTATCAGGGCCTGTATACAGCATGTAGCTCTGAACACAAACAAGGTACCTAGAGGCTAGCATCCAAACCAGCATCAGCATTAGAAAACTTAGGCTTCGTACAGACATTACAGGAACCCCTCACTATTCACAAATTCATTATTCATGGATTCGAATATTCGCGGTGCACCACACCAACAGCACAGCCGCGCTCAGGGTGGGTCAGGGCAAGTGCTGCCATGGCTCCCTCTGGCACTGCACCAAGCTCCTGCCTCTGCATAAGCCAGGCATGGAGCACTGTGCAGGGCGAGGGAGGGCAGAGCCGGGAAGCAGGCGGAGAGTGAGCACCAGGAACTAGGAGGGAGGTGGCAGCGGCATCTTCTCCCCTGGAGGCAGGTGTGGCAGCGCTCAGAGTGGGTGCGGCGCGGCAGAAAGAAAGAAGGGATCAGTCCCCAGGCACTGCAGGGGAACCCACTTCCAGCTTCTTCATTGAACAATGTGGAGAGGAGAGTAGGGGGCAGCTATGGGGGTCTGACAGGGAGCCCCATCAGTATTTGCGGATTTTGCCATTCGCAGGATCTTTAGAACATATCCCCCACAAATGGCGAGGGTCTCCTGTACAGTTAGAAGTTCAGGGAGTTAGATCAGGTTAAAAATAGCCCCCTAATCTAACTCCGTAATTAGATAGGTGCCAGGAGCTCAATTTAAAGTAAGCTGGGATAGGGTGGGGATAAAGAGGCTAGCAGGGTCCACGGGGGGGGTAGGGAAAATCAGAGAGGCACTCCAATCCCGCCAAATCCTCCCAGACCCCCCAACCTCCTCCTCCCCCTGATGCCACCAAACTGCCCTTGATCTTACTAACCAGACCCAAGGCCAATTTTACCAGCTTTCACCAGTGCCAGGAGCCTAACTGAAGTAAGCTGGGGTGAGGGAGAAGAACAAGTAGATCGGGAGGCCTGTCAGCTTTGTGGAAGAAAAAGATTGGAAGCATGCGGGGCGGCTCCCTCCCTCGGCGACTAGGAGCTATTTTTAGCTCCCTACCTCCTCCCCATCCCTAGTTAAACAACTCCCCTTCCCAGCAAACCAGCTTTCCCTGATCCCTCCTTACTTTGATTGGCTCCTGGCACCAGCAAAAGCCAGTAAAACTGGCACCGGAAACAGTTTTTGGGATTGTAGGGGTGGGTGTTTGGTGGGTTTGAAGGTGCTGGCTGATCTGGTTGATTTGTCTGGTGGTAGGGGAAAGGGCCAGGAGCTAAAAGTCGGGTGCCAGCAAGGGGGTAGCAAAGTGTAGACCCTGGGCTGGGGCCAGCAGCTAAGCTTTCCCAGCCCTGCAGCTGGGCTCAGAACATGCATAGAAGTTCAGTTAAACTGGTCTCACCATACCCAAACTAACTTAGTGCAGCTCTGAAACATAGTTAACTTCAACTAGGTCAGCCATTTTTACACCAAGCTGACCTACCTGGAATTTCTGTACAGTTCACATTTAGATCAACCTAACCAGGGATCTAAGTGTAAGGTCCACACATGGGCCAAATAAGTTAGATCAAATGCCCATTTTTAATGCAAGCTAACTCCCCCCTAACCTCCCCAAACGTCTGTACCCACCCAAAGTGGAAAGGCAGGTTCGGGAGACTGGTGTCTACTGCACTGTTAACTGAAGGAGTGTGACCATGGTACACAAACTAGGGAGAGCCAAGATAATCAGGGAAAGCAGAGCATGTACCCAAAGCACTCATTGCCCATATGACTTCAATAGGTCTCCTTGGGGAAAAATGGGTGTTTGTTTCTTTTATTATTATGATTATATATATTTTTTTTTTTTGCTGTTGCATGTAGAGGCATCAGTTCCAGAACAGATTCTCATTGTGGGCCAGGTGCTATACAAATACAGAACAAACTAACAGCCCTGAGGAGCTTATGAAGTCTTCCAGTGCACCATAGTGAGAGTGCTGAGAGGGGTTCTGTTACCACAGCCCCCTTTTCTAGAACAAGAAAGTTTTC